ACCAAGTGGTAGAACAGGGGGATTCCAGGTTTCTGTGTCTGTACACGGTGCTGGCTTCACTCTCACCCCTTCCTGGGCAGGAGGTTGGGGGCAAAAAAGGACAGAATCTGCCCCCAATGCTCCCCAACAAGATAGACAGGGGACTAGACTGACCTGAGCAGGGCAGCCAGGATTCAGAGCAGGCCTTTGCCGGGGACCAGGTGGGCCTGGCACTCTGAGCGGTAATAACGGCGGTTCTGAGAGTCCTGTTGTATCGCAAATCAGCAAGCCAGACACAAGGCGCCTTAACGAGCCAATCAATCAGGAGTCGTTTATTGTGCGAGGCCCAGAGGGACGCGTTCCTTCCAAATCTCTGAGCAGCACGTACAGGAAGTCTCCCGCATTTACACTTTTCCAGCCTCTTTGTTTGCAGATATTACAAAGGGCTCTGTGTGAGCTATAGTTACCGACAGCTGTAACCTTGAACGCATATTGAGTTTGTTCTTGGCATAAGAATATGGGACTTATCAGTATTAGTCTGTATTAGTCTGTTACATTGGATGGCTAGCTTGCAAGGCCAAACAGTTAAGTTTATCCTTTTCTATTATTTGAACTAAAAACAAAGTCGTGTTATATAGAATAAGAGACTGTCTTAAAGTGACAGAGTTTACAATGACAGAGTGTACAGGTCTAGGGACTGTCTAACAATAGCAGAGAGTTTCAGACAGCAGATGGAGGTTACTGTGCTTCCGTAGCCGTGATGGGAGTCACGCCTGTTGACCACTCACCACGTGACGAGCCCCATGCAGACCCTTGGTGTGCGTTATCTCGTTTGATCCCCATAAGACCCCTGGGAAGCTCCCAGTTTGCCCAGGAGGAGCTGTGGCTCAGAGAGGCGGAGCCACTGCCCAGGAGGTGTGGGACTGGCATCTGATGCAGGTCCCTCAGGCCTGCCCCCTGCACCCTGTGCCCCTCCGACAGCCAGGGAGGAGAGCAGCAGGAAGGACCAGGCTGTGTGGGGGGCAATCTCCAGGCTCTTTCTCAGTTCTGTTCTCAGGGTCTGCAGGGCACACACACACTGGGGTGTTGGGCACAGAACAGCCCAGCCCCTCTGCCGGGCTCACGGCCGCCCGTGTGGGGAGAGTGGACCTGCACATGGACACGTGCACCACAGTTTGGTATGAGGGAGACTGGGAGCGGGAGGAAAGGCTATGGGGACGTGACTTCCACAGGACACGGTGCAGTGGGCAGGAGGAGAACGGGCAGAGAGAGTGTTGCAGGCAGCGGACACCGAGGCGGGCAGTAGGGGGTTCTATGCTGCTAGGTGGCTGCACAGGGCAGTGTCAGGCATGGCGGCTGCGAGGGCTGTTCGTACACCTCGTCCCAGAGAAAGGCCCGGGGAAGGCCCGGGGACGGAAGGCCTCCTCCCCTAAGCGGAGGGCAGGGAACAAAGAAAGAGGCTGGCCACTCCAGTCGGGGAATGAATAGGGTTTAAGGGAAACGTGCATAGGAGACATGTCTTGAACTGCAAGGCAAATTGGACCTCACCAGAGGCGTGGGGAATAGTCACGGGTACTACCCCGTTTCCCCGAAAATAAGACAGTGTCTTATATTAATTTTTTCTCCCAAAGTTGCGCTAGGTCTTATTCTCAGGGGATGTCTTATCTTTCCATGCGCTAGGTCTTATTTTCGGAGGGTGTCTTATTTTCGGGGAAACACGGTAGTATGTGAGTGCTACCCGGTATGGCCAGGTATGGACATCGCTTTACACGCATGACCAGGTCAGGGCAACAACCTTTCACGAGAACCAGCACGTAGCAGAAGCAGGGGAGGGGTGCTGATTTATCTCAGAATGAATAACTATAATCAAACTGTCTATTTTTAAAATATATTTTTATTGATTACAGAGAGGAAGGGAGAGGGAGAGAGATAGGAACATCATTGATGAGAGAGAATCATGGATTGGCTGTCTCCTGCACACCCCACCCTGGGGATCAAGCCTGCAACCTGGGCATGTGCCCTGACCAGGAATCGAACCATGACCTCCTGATTTATAGGTCGATGCTCAACCACTGAGCCACGCTGGCTGGGGGATCAGACTGTCTTTAAGAGGGGTTGTAGAAAGCAATCTCTGTTCTGGCCCAGGGTCCAGCTTGCAGGATGGACAGTGGTCCCATCTCTCCGCCTCAGCCTGGGGTCTTAGGGTGCTCCTCTTGAGCTGAGCCCTCCCCTCTTGTCTTCTGGCTGCACGCATTTCCTGAAAATCCAGGAGGAGTAGGCCCCATGATCTCAAGGTATTGGCTCATTGGATGTAGTATCTTGGTGCCAGAAGCTAATTCCATCACATTATAATTGCAAGAGTTTCATCAAAAGGTTGATGGAGCTTGGGGACTCAACAAGGGCTGAGTCACATATGTTATCACCTGTTGGGAATGGCTAAAAGCATTTCCCCAAACCTGGAAAGGATGCATTAAATTGATTGTTTGCTGCCAGACAGCTCAGGGCATCTTAATCTACATGTTATTGCCTCCTACTGGCCGAAGGCAATTCCCCAATCTGGCAATGCTTCTGTAGGAAGCCCTACCCTTTGAAGTGTATATCTCCACCGTGCCTTTGGGACAATTTGTGTTGATAAAAAGCAAGGGGTCCTGAGACAAGAAGAACTTGGTTTCTTTAGCCAGGCTCCTCTGACCCCCAATGCCTTTCAAAATTATCATTTGTCTCTGGAGTCTTACTTAAGTTACACACAGCCTTTCTCCAGATTGCTGAACCCTTCCTTCTTAATGCCAGAACAAGAACCCGGGCATCTTGGGCCTTGTGATTGCTCTTACCCGGCCTGGTTTAGAATTAAAAAAAACTTTGCAAGGACAGAAACCCAGAACCTGGCTTGGGTTGAGTGTTCGGGACACCTTCCTGAGCACACTCAAAGTGCGTGTTAGTGCCTCCATTGCACAGATGGAGAATTGAGAGTCAGAGATAAGAAGGGCCCAGCCCAGGGCACACAGCCTGGCAGCTGGGGGCAAGCAAACAGGGTGGCTGATCGGGTAGGGTGTGTCCTCAGGCCTGGAATGTGGCCACAGGAAGCTGAGCCTGATGCTTTGGCAGGTGGAACCTGGCCCGCGGGAGGCAGCAGGTGGTCTGAGAGGCAGGCACTGTGGGGAACTGGAAAGTCTGGCCCCTGAAGGCATCCTGCACTGTAAAGGGGGCTCTCTCAGAGGAGGAAGTGTCCCTTCTCACGTGCTAAAGGCCCACCCTCTGGAGACAGTGTTTTCACTGTTTCTGGGTGCTGTGAGGGCAGAGGACTTCAGGGTTGAACATGTTTGGGAAATAGTAATAAGCAAAGAGAAAGAAATGTTTCTGACCACCGAAGAGCCTTTCCTATTATAGTGATTGAAGGAAAAGTGGGCAAGAGAAGTGCGGCCCCTCCTCCTGGGAGCTCTCAGTCCTAGGAGGAGACCGACAAGGCTCGAGCACAGGGACACAAGAGGGGCAGGAGGGTGGAGTGCTAGGAAGAGACGTGTGAGTGATGGGGAAGGCTGAGGGGCTTCCTGGGTAGAATGACATCTGGGTAGAGACCTGAAGGAGGTAAGGATGGAGGAAGGGGGGCAGCTGTGTCTGGGGAAGGGAGACCTGGGCAGAGGGGACAGCACATGCAAAGGCCCTGAGGCCTGGGGCTGCATGGTGTATTGGAGAAGCAACGTGAGGCCAGTGGTTGGATCCAGTTGGGCAGAGGGGGTAGGCGAGGTGGTAGGCGAGGATGTGGACAGGGGTCAGCCCACGGCTGTGGATTCAGAGCTTGCTGGGTCTTTGGAGGGTTTGGCAGGGGAGAGCTACCTGGAGACATGCTGCCTCATGAGTGTATAGGATCCGACAACATCAGCATAGCAGCAGAAGCAATAGCCATTGGGCACCGAAGGCCAGTCAGGGGGCCGCGCCTCTCACCAGCCTGGGAGACAGTCCTCGGTACATCCTGTTCCACAGGCGAGGAATCGGAAGCTCAGAAAGAGGTGCTTGCACTAGGTAGTGGCTCTCAAAAATATTTCTGGAACAAACAAGCGCATTAGGAGATACGTTACTTAAAAAAAGCTTTCCCTGTCACTAAACATTCTTTACAACAATCATGTTTAATGGCTGTATAGTACTCAATTGCAGTCCCAATCACCATTCCCATTGCCCTGTGGCCAAGAAATTAGATTTTTTGTTTGTTTGTTTTGTGTTTGCTTTTAATAGCAATACTGTAATAAATGTTCTTGTTCCATCTTTCTGAGTCTCCTTCAGTATATGGTTAAGGCCAATTTATAAAAATACAGATGCTGGATCGGAATACAGGCCTATTGATACAGCATACAACTTCTCAGCGTGTTTTGAGAAATGTGATGATGTTGCCATCCTAAAAGGACCTCTCCATGGACCTTGTCACCTGCCACATTTGGAGGGACTTGTTTGGCCGAGTTGTCTTTTTTTTTCTTCTTTTTTTCTTTCTTACTTAAAAAGGCCTCGGTGGCAAGAATCTAGTGTAAAAATCATTGGGAAAACTAAAAGGCATCGATACATATCCGAATGTACATTTTGCACATGAATTACTTTCGTCTCCTGAGAGAGGTCCTGACCTACCATGCGGTCTGGTGACTCAGAGGCCCCGGCAGCTGCCATTCCGGCCAGCATAGTCCGCGTGTGCACTGGGCACCGCGGACGGCCCTCCTGGCTCCAGCGGCCCCTCTTCCTCACTCGTGGATCTGACACTCTCGGCTGTGCGGTGGCAGCACGGTGGGGTCCGGGAAAGATGTCAGGCAGGCCGGCGACCTCAGCGGCATCTGGGCTGCCGGATCCCTTTGTGAGGGACCAGCACAGGCCGGTTCAGCCCAGGCCCTCACCTCGGCTGCAGCCTTGATCCCTGACCCTGGTGAGGGGGTGTGGGGAGCAACCAATCACTGTGTCTCTTTCACATCGATCCTTCTCTTTCTGAGCTGAGTTGTCTTTATTTTATTTTATTTTATTTTATTTTATTTTATTTTATTTATTCAGAATGTGTCCTTTCCTTCTCCCCTTCTAAGAGTGGGAGGAACAATCTTCAATGGCCGAGGCCATGGCAGAAGCAACACCAGGAGCTGGCTTCATGCTCAGGAGGGGACGCGGCACCTCCTCCTGGTGGTTCCGGTGTCCACACACGTTCAGAGAGACGTCGCTGGTAACGAACCATAGACGTGATCCCTGAAGGTGTAGAATCTGAGTTGTCTTTTAATTCACTGTCTTTGTTCTCTCAGAGGGAACAGAATGAGGTTAAAATACCTCAGTCTGGCAGGCTTTAGGAAAGCATATGACCATGTGAACATATCGCGAGGGTGCCTTCCAGACCTCGGCATCCCTGTTTTAAGGTCGGGAGTGACAACAGTGGTGTGGTCCTCAGATTCTTCCCTACGGTCTGTTCCTGCGACCAAGTATTGGAGATGCCAGGGGAGATTCCTTCCGCCCTCAGTTTGCCTCACTTTCTTATTCTGGGAATGAGGCTCAGCTTTTTAAAATAGTGTCACCTATTTTATTTTATTTTTTTTAAAAATAGAGAATACATTTATAAAGTACAGAATATTTTCTAAAAAGCTTTTCTTCTGCCCCCCAGTCAGCCCAATAGCCACCACGGGGACTAGTTTCTGACGGGTGCTGCCAGGAAAGTTCAGAAGCAAGCAAATATGTATACAGAGAACACCCTTTACATTACATGGGGAAAAACAAAATACAGCCAGAGGGTGTGCAGAAGATAGGAAACTGGCATCTAAGGCTGATTTCATCTTGGTTTCGAGTGGAGGGAAGAAAACACAGCGTGGCCAGGATGCTGGAGGAGGCACAGAAACAGCCCCAGGCCTGTGTGCGCAGGGCAAGATGATATTTGCTCACGTGCTGGGTCAGGATAAGGTCACAATAACCCTCCAGCTCCCTCTGATCGCTCTTCTCCCGAGTCCCCCCCCCCCCCCCCCCCATTACATGGTTAGGGATGGGGAGGGGAGTGCCCTCCATCTCTCTGAATGGGCACCAGGTACTTAGCAAATCCTTGAAGCTAGGGTGCATCACCAGTATGCTGTTGGCAGGTGAAGATGCTCAGACTCCTAGAATCTGAGTGTGCCCAAACCATCTCACTTTGTGAGGCCTAACCTGGAATCCAGGGGAGGTTGCCTCTGCCCTCCTTTTGCCTCGCTTTCTTACTCTGGGAATGAGGTGCAGCATTAAAAATAAACAACACCTTGATTTTAGAGCAGGAGGAAGGGGAATAGAGAGAAATGTATCTGCAAGCTCAGTATGTTCCCTGAGTGGGAGCCAAACTCGAGACCTGAGCTACCTCAGCCAGGGCAGAGGCTCAGCATGTGAGCAGCACTTTTTGTGTTATTTTATTTGTTTTGAGCTCCACGGTATGCAGGACAGAGGCAAGCTTTAAAGATGCCAGGCCCTGTATGTGGAGGCATCTCAAATATCCCAGCCCCTGGTCACAGGTGTAAATCTTAGGGAAGAATCTGAGGACCACACCTTTGCCGTCATTCCCGACCTTAAAACGGGGACGCTGAGGTCTGGAAGGCACCCTAGCAAGATGGCCACATGGTCACATGCTTTCGTAAAATCTGCCAACTCAAGTGTTTTAACCTCACTCTGTTAAAACCACCATTGCTTTTCCAGTCTTACTTCCCCTTGTGTCAGATGATGTTGGAGTGAGTGATCTGGCTAAGATGCCCATGACATTTCATTGGGGTTTAGTGGTTTTATTTATGTTGTTTCCAGTAACTTTTGAGAATAAATTATTACCAACTGACGTAGTATAGGAATGGCTTCCAGGAATGCCCCTACCTAGCACACTGAGCTGACTCAAATAGCACTGTGATATGAAGACGAGAGTCAGAGGTTATATCTCTATACAGAAGAGTGGTCTTACATGTTTGTGGAAATTATCATCGAGGTAATAAAAGTAATGTTATTTTTTTGGTAATGTTTGTGGAACTTGTCATTTTCCCCATGGTTTCTTTTATTTTTCTAACCTAATAATCACTTTGTCACCTAATTTTATATTTGTAATTTTGTAATTCTTTTTTAAAAATATGTTTTTATTGATTTCAGAGAGGAAGAGAGAGGGAGAGAGAGATAGGAACATCAATGATGAGAGAGACTCATCGATGGGCCGCCTCCTGCATGCTCTACACTGGGGATTGATCCCGCAACCCAGGTATGTGCCCTTGACCGAAATTGAACCTGGGACCATTCAGTCTGCAGGCCAATGCTCTATCCACTGAGCCAAACCAGGCAGGGCTGTAGTTCTTTTCTTTTCTTTCTTTCTTTCTTTTTTTTTTTTTTTTAATATATTTTATTGATTTTGTATAGAGAGGAAGGGAGAGAGATAGAGAGTTAGAAACATCGATGAGAGAGAGTCATCGATCAGCTGCCTCTTGCACACCCCCTACTGGGGATATGCCCGCAACCAAGGTACATGCCCTTGACCGGAATCGAACCCGGGACCTTTCAGTCCCCAAGCCGACGTTCTATCCATTGAGCCAAACCGGTCCCGGCTGTAGTTCTTTTCTTAAATAAGATTTCCTAAATTGCATAAACCTTAGGAAGTACAAAGTCTAGATCTGCCTCTGCTCAGTTTTCTGTGTGTCTTTTAGGATCACCGGACCTTCCTTGCCTCTCCTCACTGTCACCACCAAACAGGTTTTGCACATTTACCTATGGATATAACAAAATAGTCCGGAGGACTCCTGCTGGATCCAGACAAACCTTTGTTTTCTCATCTATAAAATAGGAATAATAGAATCTACCTTTTCAGATATAATAAAGTCAAGTGAGAAAACATGTATAAGGCCTCAAACACAACCTGGCAGAGGGCACAGTTAGTGCCAGGTTTAATATTTAGCTGGTCCTCACAGATACAATCAGATGCCCTGTTTCTGACAGTTTTGTTCTGATTTGGTAGGTGCCCAGGCCAGGACACCCAATCACTGTTAGCTATTGGTATGCTATTAGTCCCCTCCCCTGGGTACCCAAGGCATGTACACACAGTTAGTGCTCAATCATTGGCAATCCAAAATTTGAAAGACACTAACTGGTTCTAAATTGAGCAATGCCCTAAACTCAAACAGTGACTCATAGCTATGAAATCTCCTCATCTCTAAGAGCCTTTTGAGTTAACTTATTCTAATCCTATTAAAAATTTTGTTGGACATGTTTAAATCTAGGAAATTTGGAAAATCCACAAAAGCCAAAGAGAAAATTAACTGCTGTTATTATAAAAGATTATATACCTATACATGTGGTGCTATGATTATGTATTTAATACATATGTTGTACATGGTGCTTTGAAACATACTTTTAAAAAATCTAACACTTTCTTGGCATTTTCTTTAAATATCTTTTTTAAAAATATGTATTTTATTTATTTATTTATTTTTTACAGAGAGGAAAGGAGAGGGATAGAGCTAGAAACATCAATGAGAGAGAAACATTGATTCAGCTGCCTCCTGCACTCCTCCTACTGGGGATGTGCCCACAACCAAGGTACATGCCCCTGACGGGAATCAAACCCGAGACCCTTCAGTCCCCAGGTCGGCGTTCTATCCACTGAGCCAAACTGGCCAGGGCTAAATATCTTTTAATAACATAGTTTTTAATGACTGCATAATATTCCCCATCAGTAAGTGGGGTTAATTAAAGGTATCCATCTCAAAGGCTTATGCCATGAGCACTGAAAAGAGTTATGTCATGTAAAGTTACCTGGCATGTAAAAAGCAGAACGCATTTATATAAAACCAGTCCCCTTTTGCTGAGCATGCAGGTTATTTCCATTATTTTTTCTATGATGGATAACGATGCGCTCTATTGATCTTTGCTCAAGTCTTTGGTCATTTCCTTAGTAAATGTCAAGATTGCTGGATATGCACATTTTAAAACTAGCCCACTCATTGTTGTGCTCTTAGGGGTGTGGAGAGGGAAAGGGGCTTGCCCGGGATCATATATCGAGTTAGCTGCAAAGTCCGGCCTAGGAACCAGCCCCAGGACCCTAACTGGTGCCTCGTCCAGCTGGGCACCAGGAGAAAGACCAGGTTGAGCCTTAAGGCACCGGGCTAAGGCCGCCCCTGGGAGAACCGGAGGCGGGTGCAAAGGGGCGGGGCGGGGCGGGGCTGGGCTGCGGAGCCTCGGGCTTTGCAGACAGGCCAAGTCAAACCGTTGCCTGGCAACGCGGGCGGCGCGGCGTTCGAACGGAAGCGAGGAACCAATCAGGATGTCCGGGGCAGACCATTTTCGAGAAGGGGGGTGGAGGGGAGAAGGCACGCTCACTTCCCCTTCCTCTGCGCACCGGCACCTCGTTCCGGTGGGGGCCTTGCCACAGCCGGTGCCCCCCCCCCGCTCGTCTCGGTGCGGAGGACCGCTCCGAAGAGGTCCCTCTGCGCATCGCCACGCGGGACCGGCCCCCCGAGCGGCGCTGGGCGTGGCCATTCCCGGCCCGGGTCCGAGCTGTCAGCGGCTGCACCACCCGACCTGGAAGAGCCGGGACTCGTCTAGGCTGGGCTCCAGGTGAGGGCGCAGGTGGCCTGGGGCGCGGCTGGGCTCGGTCTGGGGGGCTCCGCTCACCCAAACACTGTGTTGTGTGTCCTCCCCGCGCCACACCTGCGTGAGAGGGGTAGCTAGCTGGTGGTCATGTTTGCAGCCTCTTAGCAGCAGGGACCCGGCCCGTGGAGTCCTGGCTGGATCACCTCCCATCGCTGGGTGCCTTTCCTGGGCGTCTGTCTTCCCTGTGCGCCAGGGGCTGGACGTGGTTCTCCTGCCCACGAGGTTTTGAATTGCAGCGGTGTTCTTCCCGGAGGCTGATCTGGGCCTATCGGCGGGACTGACATTGTGGGCAGCAGGTGCTCTGGCCCCGGAGTCACTGCTGTGCTCTTGGGAACCTGGGGGAGAGGATAGAGGCGGCCCCTCCACGGAAGCCATAGTCACCAAAGCCCCTAGAGACTTTGGAGTTGGGGTGGGGCAGGGACTCTTTCCTGGCGAGCGAGCTTCTGACCTAGACTGTGTCCTGCCTCCTGGCCACCCCCTCCCTCAGCCCCTGCACCCCCAGGCTGCTATTGTTGATTTCCTTTTGCAGGTGGGGAAACTGAGATTCTCAGAAGATAAGTCCCTTGCCCAGAGTCAAACAAGCAGACTGGGCACCCAGTCTGTCTGGCTTCAGTATTAGAGATCTAGGCACTCAGAATCATA